AGGTGTCTGCCTCACGGACTACAGCTGGGAGCTGGTTCCACAGGAGAGGAGCCTGATAACTAAAAGATCTGCCTCCCATCCTTATTTTAGATATTCTGGGAACCACCAGTAAACCTGCAGTCTGAGAGCGAAGTGCTCGGTTAGGAACGTATGGAACAATCAGATCACTGATGTATGATGGAGCTTGATTATTAAGAGCTTTATATGTGAGAAGAAGGATCTTAAAATCTATTCTGAATTTAACAGGCAGCCAATGTAGGGAAGCTAAGACAGGAGAGTTCAGTTCAGTTCATTTATTTATAAAGCACTTTAAAACACCCAGCACAGGAACAAAGTGCTGTACAGAAAATACATTAAAACAATAGAATAAACAGAAAGCAGCAAAGAGAAATAAATAAAACACATGAGACATGAAATTAAAACAGCCCAATAATAAGAATAAAAACTAGATAAAAATAGCATTGAAACACCCAAAAACAGCTAAAATAAGTCAAAACTAAAAATAGCAACAGACCCTCATACATTAGACCTTGTGCTGATTTATGGCATAGAGTGTGAGGAAGTAACGATCTTTCCACATAATCCAGACCTCTCGGACCACTTTCTGATAACCTTTGAGTTTTTATAACTGAGTTCTCGAGACATGAAAGTGAATTTCACTATAGTCGGTCTCTATCTGACAACGCAGTTGCACCTTTTAAATCAACTGTTCCATCTTTACTGTCCTCAGCATCTCAGAGGAATGTAGCAGAGGGCAATATTTTCATTTCTAGCCCTTCACAAGTTGATGGTCTAGTTCATCATGTTACTTCTTCTTTATGTGTGGCATTAGATGATGCTGCCCCTTTAAAAATCAAGGCAATTAGGCAGAGGAAGTTGGCTCCCTGGTTTAATTCTGATCTACAAACTTTAAAACAGAACTCTTGAAAATTGAAGAGAACATGGCGCTCTACGCACCAGGAGGAGTCCTACTTATCCTGGAAAAATAGTCTTGTGCTTAATAAAAATAAGCTTCCACAAGCTTGTCTTGAAGACATAAAAAAATTGGATGACTCTAAACTTTCTGCTTTTAAATCAAGACAGGACTGAAGTTCTCATCTTTGGACCAGACAGTCAGAAAAGGAAATTGCTTAGTCAATAGCATGACCTAAATGGCATTAAATTTGTCTCCAAGAACAAATTAAGGAACCTTGGTGTTATTTTTGACCAGGACATGTCATTCAAATCCCACGTAAAACAGGTTTGAATGATTTCCTTTTTCCACCTTCCGAGTATTGCTAAGATTGGAAGCATCCTTTCCAGGAGTGATGCTGAAAAACTAATTCATGCATTTATTTCATCAAGACTGGATTACTGTAATTCATTACTATCAGGAAGTCCACAGAATGTAAAAAAAAAAAAATAAAAATTCTTCAGCTTGTCCAAAATGCTGCAGCTAGAGTTCTGATGAGAATCAAAAAGAGAGATCATATCTCTCCTGTCTTAGCTTCCCTACATTGACTGCCTGTTAAATTCAGAATAGATTTTAAGATCTTCCTTCTCACATATGAACCTCTTAATAATTAAGCTCCATCATACATCAAGTCACCTGATTGTTCCATATGTTCCCAACCAAGCACTTCGCTCTCAGACTGCAGGTTTACTGATGGTTCTGAAGATATCTAAAAATAGGATGGGAGCCAGATCTTTTAGCTGTCAGGCTCCTCTTTTGTGGAACCAGCTCCCAGCTTCAGTCCATGAGGTGGACACCTTGTCTACTTTTAAGACTATAGGCTTAAAACATTTTTATTTGATAGGTCCTATGGTTAAAATCTGATGTTAGCCCAGATCTGGACAAGTGGGGGAGGTAGAGAACACAGTCGGTAAAGATGGCTATCCCCTGCCCTGCCTCCAACATGCCTCCATCTAAAAGGCTAGGTTATCCAGAGTTATCTCTTATTTTTAATTTTTTTTATTTTTTAACCGTGTCCTGTCTGGCTGTGAAGCAAACAGAATTGATGTCTGAATGCTGGTAACAAGCCTTACAGATTTACTCTCAGGTGGAGCATCAAAGCATCTGCTTTTAATGTCACGCCTGATACTTAAAACTTTATTGTTATTGTTTTTGAATGCTTTGTAATTCCGACTAGACACGGAGCCAGAGGTGAAAGAGAAAGGAAAAGACAAAAGGTGGGGAGAGAGGGGGGAAGGTGGTGGTGGTGGTGGTGGTGGTGGTGGTGGGGGGGTGTTCCCCAAAAATAAACAATAATGAACAATAGTCTGCTTCTAGACCTGCAGAAAGAGACAAGAAACAAAAAAGCAAAAATAAAAAAAAATAAAAAAATGGGACACAACAACAATACAACCAGAGCAAGCTATCACTGCGTCAACTTGATGAAGAAATATATAATCAATATTGTTTAACTGAACAATCACACGATA